CGGGAGCGCCGCTGCACTTCCCAAGCGGCGCACTATAGCAGTGCACCACCGGGCCGGCCCCACAAGAGCTACTTTTTAAAAATTAAAAATTACTCACTGCTCATTACAAAAGTTAAAATGAAACAGAAGTAAATGCAATAAAAAGCAAAACTTTCTCCATTCCCATGTACCAATTACTTTCATTTTTAGCGGAAATAAAATGCATCTCATAAAGATTTTAACTTTTTCTAAGTTAGCTCTATGTAAAAAAGCTTCCTAATCACTGTTCTAAAGTCCTAAAGACTTCTCAATCTCCAGGCTGTCCATCTTCTAATTGACCTTCCCAATCATCGGAAGAATTCGTTTTATAAAATTCAAATTTGATTCTGGTCCTCTCATAATTTAAAAACTCCCTGCCCCTATAAGTAAGGCCTTAATGTCACCAGCTATCCAATTTCACCTCCTGTCTGTCTTCCCATCTTATACCCCAGCCATGCCTTTCACAGGCTGATCTCTCTTCCTGTACCAGCTCACGTTGTTCTCTAGTAGTGTCTGATCATCCTGTAAAAACCCAGCTAAAGAGTCACCTTCTTTCCCCTAACACCTACAGGAAAATTTAATCACCCATTTTGTGCTGCTGAACCTTAAACATATGTCTACTCTAACAATTAATACAGAACTCTACAATTATTTATCTACATAATTGTTCCTCCTGTTTCATAGTGGCTCTCTTAAGAACATAACCTGTTAAGTAATCTTTGTTTCCCCGGTGTCTAGCATAGTTTTTGAAACCTACTTGGTGCTTACTAAGCTCTTGCTACATTGACTCTTATTTGTACACAGTCTAATCACTGAATATAAGGAGTTAGCCACCGTCTAAACTATGGATTATCCAAGGCCAATGTGTGGCCACCAGTTAGTAACATGCCACACTTCCCACCAGCCACTGATCCAGGGTCACCTTCCCATGGGCTCACCACTGATGGGTGGGACAGACTCAAATACAGAGGATTCAATTTTAGATTATTCCAAACATTTGGCAGCAGAATTTTAGTGAGGCTGAAGGTGGAGGATTTGGTGGTACCTGATGAAGACAGAGTGGAAGTGCTCTTGAGTCCAGCTGCTCAACTTCACCTCGAATAAGTGAGAACAGAGATTGCAGAACCAGCTTTGGGGCTTCTGGTTGGTCATAAGCATTTACTTCAGCAGCCTCTTCATCACTAGCAGCAGGCGCAGCTACACTTAGTAACTTTTCTTGCATTAAAGGTGTAGAAAGTCCTTTAAGAAGTAAAGAAAATGCCTGTGTTAGGATGAATTCCCATCATGGAGGAACACCTTAAAACAATTATGTTGGTTAACCATAAAACTACCAAGTAAAACTAACCACACACAAAAAAACCCCAGAACCACAAGTTTTGTCTTCATTAAGATTGTGCTGACATTTTATTGCTTCTATGAGAATATGTGTACGTAAATTATCCTTTTTGCAGAATAATTAAGAGTGTTAATGAAAAGAGATCCAAAGAAGAGTATGCAGGTTAAAACCTGACCAAAAATTTGGTTCTCCCAAAGAAAAATTGGCTTCACTATAATTTGAAGTCCCAGCTTGCCCAAAATAACACAGAACTGAATAGAAGGTAAATGTGTTTATTATACGAAATGGCTAAAGTAGTTGAGCTTTCTTCCTTAAACTCTGGTCTGATAACATTAGAACTACCTGTGGATCCCATAAAAGTGGCAGGAATTCAGATTGCCAGAGTTGATGGCCAGTGAAATCTTTTTCCTAATAAAAAGAAGTTAGGTAACAAGAACTTATCAAAGATAATTAAGACATAAATGCTTGACCTACAGCTCCTGAAATGTACCAAATTAAAAAACCTTATCATTATAAATTATAACTTCACCCTTCTCTGCAATCTCCATATCAGTTCTAATTTTCATGTTCAAATCGAATAGACCTGTCTGCCTCAGAAAGGATCTTTCTCAGGGTGTGTGCCCCATGACCAAGGCTGCTCTCCCTCCACAGTGTGCCCATAACTCTGCCTTCTACTGCTCTCTGAATAAACCTACTGCTCTGGCCAGACTGGCCCATTCTTCATCTCCCTAGAAAAACACTTCATGCCTTTCTAAGCAATTACAGATTCTAACAGCTGGAATATTTTTTCCCCTCTATGCCTATTTACGTTCTACCCTAACAAACTCTGTATCCTTCCCTATAACAAGAAACTGAAGTTAACTTACTTTCTTCTGAACCCTATATATTGACCTTATATTATGCTGCACTGCATTACAGTGACTGGTGTAAGGTCTCATCTTTATTAGATCATAACTCCTGCAGCACAGGGGTTAATTTATGTAGCATGGCATACCAATTATACCTAGCACAATGTCTTCAGCACTAAAATTCCAAGTGTTGTGCTTCTTTAAAAAATCACCTACAGCGATTACTTATCTTTTATAAATTTCATGTCAGTTGGTTTCTAGAAGTACAAGGCTTAGTGATGGCCTGCCATTTTGTAGGACCAGTATTATAAATAAGCAACATATAAGTAAATAAAATTATGTAGCCAAAGAAATTTTAACAGAAAGAAGACTATTAATCATAAAACATAACCAACGCAAGTCCCAAAAGCCTACAGAAATCTAAGGATTCCAAGAGCAACANCTATATAGGATCCGAACCTGCGGCGGGAGCGCTGCTGCGCTCCCAGCGCCGCACTCTCCCAGTGCGCCACGGGCTCGGCCCTTTGTGGAGATTTTGGTATTTAAGAAATAGACCCATCACTGTGAACGAGCTTGAGCAATTACTTAAGAAAACTGAATATAAGGTTACCTGCCTAATACAAATATCTTCTAGTTCCTCTCACAGTACTTAACAGTATATATTTTTTAAAACCACTGTTCCTCCTTTGCCTAGATTGTAGATTGAACACACAGTGGCCTATTAGATTTTTTAGGCAAGAAAATAAACTGAGTGTCCTTGTAAGAAGAGTTCTGCAACTTTCCATACCAAAGAGTAAGTTTCTTTTTCCAGCTCTGCTAACCTTTTAGGAATAGAATTTTATCACAGCTTAAATAATTATATAAATTGTTACACATGTTATTAAATTTCAAGGATATACTTTACCTTGGGCATATATATACACACACACACATATAAAAACAAAATATTTAGGCATATTTTAGATACATGGAATTTTAAACCACTTAAAGCATGGCCTTTGTTTCACAACATTAATGGTGTAAAGAACTTATATTAGAAAACTATTGCCAAAGAGTTGGAAGATTTCCATGACATGGAAATCAGGGCAGCCCTAA